TAAAAGATGCCTCCATCAGCCCTGATTCCGATGGTTGAGAATGGTTCTCAGCCCACAAAACCACAAGAAAACAGTTCCCTCCTACCTGAACTCTCTCATTCAGGTCTACACTCCCTCCTGCTCACTACGCTTGGCCAACAAAAGCTGCTTGATACAACCACCACAACAGGGCCCAAGGTCGATAGCTAGACTCTTCTCCTCTGTGGTTCCCTGTTGGTGGAACGAGTTACCAAACTCTGTTGAATCTGCTGACTCCCTCTCTCTTCAGGAAAGACTAAAGACGCAGCTCTTCACTGAACACCTTTGCACTTGACGGGGGGGCTGGAGCCTATCCCAGCTGACTTAGGGCGAAGGCAGGGGACACCCTGGACAGGTCACCAGTCTGTCACAGAGCTACACTTAGAGACAGACCAAGTACACTCACATTCACACCTATGGACAATTTAGAATCACCAATTAACCTCAAAATGTTTTTGGACTTGTGGGAGGAAGCCGGAGAACCCGGAGAGAACCCACACCGCACGGAACATGCAAACTCCACACAGAAAGATCCCGGTGCCCCAACCGGAACCAGCAACCTTCTTGCTGTGAGGCAACAGTGCTACCAACTGCACCACCTTGCTGCCCCAGAATAAGGACTTCCCTACCAGAAACAGTAACTGATGTAGCTCATTAATATTAGTTTATTACTATACAGCAATGATCAACTGCTGTGTCTAAGATGTTACACAATCAACCGCCTTTAGCCAGGGCCTCTCCTCTCCCGACTGCCCAGATGTTGTAGGAGGACAGACAGGTGAAAGGAGGTTTGGCAATAATTTGTTTTAGAAAATGAAAATGAGGTTGCATGTAGGATAAAGTGGCGCATAACCACTCAACCGGAGCAATGTGGAGCCACGTTCAGCTGCCGGTACTAGCACTGCTAACGTTAGCTGCACTGAGCAGCTGTCATCCTGCTCAGTCTGAATGGAAACGCTGCTCATCACATCAATGACACAATATACACATTTCACTCAACTTTGTTCTTTAGTGATGATGACTGTACCAACTGAACATCATGTTACCCTTCTTAGTTTGACCCAGCACAATTGCAGCACAAATACTCAGTGTTGAAAAAAAAACTTTATTTTAATAAACATTTTCAATTTAGTACAACAGATGTTTGAGAAATGAGATAACACATACACTGTACTCCTACCATAACATTAGGTTTTTCATTTCTGCATATGCAATTTCTTCAGTCCACATTTAAAGTCCATTTTGTCTGTGGTCCTTTCAGCTTCATCAGCTCCACACAGTCTGTATTTGTCTCACCTGCTCCAACAGTGGAGACCGAACCAAGTGAACATCTGAACAGGTGGAACATCCAGGACTGATTCAGGTTCCTCCAGCAGCTACGACTTGCCTGCTTTGCTTTTTCTGTCTCTGCTTCCGGTGTAACGGAAACTCTTTAACGGGTTCTTCCCTCTGATGTTCTTCTACCAGAGAGAAAATATGTTGTTTTAGCTCAGTCTGGGGTATTATTATTTTCAAACATGCACTTTTCCCTGAACATTTTTGCTCTAATATGCAGTTTGGACTTTGGTGTCTCAGTCTGTTGGGATACATTTTACCAAGAAACACTCATTTAACCAGGAAAGCAGAGAAGAAACTCATAATTTTAGGGAAAAATCTGTTTGATATATGGAAAGACAGGGTTTGACAGTTACGAGGTAGATATACAGGCTGCAATTATTATCATTCCTTGTACGACAGATTTATTTTCTGGATTATTTCAGTTGTTTGATCTATGGAAGTTAGACAACAGTTTCTGCAGCGACACCTAAAAATCTAGAAGACTGTAACTGTTAAATTTGTACAATTTACATTAACTTGATTTGCCACCCTGTTACACTCCTCGGTAGCTCCAAATCAGAGCCCTGAAGTGTTAATGCAGCTAGCTGCTGTCAGTCTGTACACAGTCTCACCTTGAAGCTGGTCTTGCTGACTCCTCCTGGTTTAGACTTCTCCCTCCTCTTCTTCCTCCTGCTCGACAGTGGATGCACCACGCCTCTCAGTGTCTCAGGAACTGCAGGACATGAGTGAAAGTGATGACAGTTATCAATGACAGACATCTTTAGTCACGGTTACATGAGAAGGTCAGCCCCGGCTTTGCTCATGTTGTGAGGGCATAAATCTGTTTACACATGGCTAGAACAGCTTCCTCGGGGTCTGTGACGAGCTCACGATTTGGACTTTGGAGGCGGAGACAACAGCTGATAACTCTGTCCCTCTGAATGACGGCTTTTAATCAGTCAGTTGGTGAAAACTCAATCAAATCAGTCAGATGAGAGGAGTTCTCAGAAATTGTCCAACCTCCAAAGTCTCAAAAGTCAACTTGCAATTCAAATATATTTTTTTGGGCTTTTGCCTTTATTTAGAGCAGTAGAGAGAGACAGGAAAGGGGGGAGAAGAATGAGGGAGAGACCTGCAGCAAAGGGTCATGAGCGGGATTCGAACTCACAACCGCTGCGTCGGGGACTGTAGCCCCTGTTCATGGGTCACCCACTCAACCAGGTGAGCTATACGGGCGCCCTCAACTTGCAATTTAAAGAAAAATACTATATTGTAAAATAATTGAATAACTTGATCTGTTACTATCAGTATTAGTTACTTTGCAGACTCAAATGATTAAAATCAACTACTAACATATGATGCATACTTTAAGAAAAGACAGGGTAAATTCCCAGTAAATAATCATTTAAATTAGCTTCACCTTTCAAATGGCCACATTACTGTCATGCACATCAGTAATTATAACCCAATAATATCATACAGTTTATTCTGAAATGACAATTCTGCATATTACCAAAATTTACAGACTATAAGCCGCTACTTTTTCCACACGCTTTAAACACTGGGGCTTGAACAATGATGCAGGTAATTTATGAATTTTCACGATTTTTACAACTTTGCCTCGAGACGAAAGTGACACTGAGAAAAACAGCGAAAGAGAGACTGAGGAAGTGTGTGATGAAGTAATTCTGACGCTGTTCAGTTCCAACACTGCAGAAGATGACTTTAGTGGTTTTAGTGCGCAGGAGGAAGATGAAGATAGCGATCAGTGACTTTTCCTGCTAGGCTACTGTATTTTTTTTGTTTTTTTAACCAGTCGTGTTACAGGCACTGTTAGGAAACATTTACGTATTTGTGTATGTTACCGGTACGTATTTTAATTAAAAAGTTAAAAGTTTCTGTGTAAATATCTCGTGTTACAACGTGGACACCTGCGGCTTACAGACAAATGCAGCCTATATATGTACAAATTTGTTTTTCTTTTTAAAGTTAGTAGGTGCGGTTTATATTCAGGTGCACTCAACAGTCCAAAAATGATGGTACTGTGATGCACATCAGTAATTATAACCCAATAATATCCATCCATTATCTATACACCGGCTGATTTAGGGTGAAGGCAGGGGACACCCTGGACAGGTCACCAGTCTATCACAGGACTGCACTTACAGACAGACAACCAATCACACTCACATTCACCCAATAATATAATACACTTTATTCTGAAATGGCAATTCTGCATATTAAGTCCTTTAGGTGTATTTTGATGCCAATACTGACGTACTTTAACTTTAGTGACAATCCAAATGCATGATTTTTACTTGTTACTACTTTTTTATACTGCAGTATTTTTCCTTAAGCTGAAAGTTTTGATGACTGTGTGTGTTTGCGTCCTACCCAGATATTCAGGAATGTTCTTCAGGTGAGGTTTGACCACAGCTGGATGAAGGTCTTTGTCGTGTCGGAGCAGCTGCAGATCTCTGGGGTTGTCATCGAAATACGTCTGAGGGAGCAACAGCACAAACATCCAATCAGAACACGTCCAAACACCATCTTTTACGAACACCAAGTGTCTTTTACCTTCAGTTTCTCTGAGTTAAGCAGCTCCTGTTTGATCTCCTTTAGTCGGGCCTCCCTCACTGCCTGCTTCGTCACCGAACGCATCGCGTCCTACACACAAACAAAATATTATCAGTGCTGATATGAAATTTTACCAGGGCAGAAATTAGGGAAAAGAACTCATGTCCATTTTAATTCTTTGTGTGTTCATATCTTTTAATTGGATCTTCTACATGAGGACGATACTTACCCTGCACCTGTACCTGAAGCCTTCGATCTCTTCCATCTTAAACTCGTAAGGTTTGAGGACAGACTCTGCATTATCTAAATACAAACAAACATATTCTTAGAAATAACAAGGGATGTCCTGGTTCGATCTCAAAGATTGTAGCTGAACAAGGCATTTTTTAACTGATCATTATTTGCTCGAACCTAAACCTGACTCTTTGTTGATGTCACACAGGTGTCATAGAGGGAGAGAATACATCTCCAATCTCGTTGCACACTGTATAATGACAATACTGGACATTCATTCATTCATTCATTCATTCAACATGGGAGGACAGTAGGAATGCAAATTTTGTATATTTTTTTAACCACTTCATGTCAACAGCAACTATCACGTAGTAATCACTTAATTTCTAATCCAAGCTGAACACAGTGGGGATTTGTCCTCTGATATCGCTGTTTTAGTCATTAGACAAAAAAAAATAAATAAAAAATTTAAATGGCTTTTTTAAACTATTGCTTGAAAAATCGAAATTTTTCTGTCTGTCGACCAGTGGATTTATTAACTGATACTTCCAGCTCTAGAGAAAACGTCTCACTGGAGTTGTAATGACGACACAAACAGTCCACTCTGCTGTACAGCAAAAATAAAATGAGTGATAGAAAGTGAACACAGCTTGTAATTAGTCAAAAGTAAATCCTAAACCAGTTACATCACCCAGTAATAAAAATAGTATTATAAAAACAAGACAACCCCAGTTACACACGTGGACAAAACTGTTGGTACCCCTCGGTTAATGAAAGAAAAACCCACAACGGTCACAGAAATAACTTGAATCAATTAATAATAAATAAAAATTCTATGAAAATTCAGCAATGAAAATCAGTCATTGCTTTTGAACCGTGGTTTAACAGAACTATTTTAAAAAATAAACTCACGAAACAGGCCTGAAGAAAAATAATGGCACCCCTAGAAAAGACTGAAAATAATGTGACCATAGGGATGTTCAATCAAAGTGTGTCCTCTAATTAGCATC